GAACTTCCACGGTCGGGACATTGCAACCTTAGCCGCGCTCCGATCGAAGCATCTTGTGGATCGTGCCGGGCGGCACTCGGTTCCCCAGTTATGTCGACTGCTGCGTGGGCCGCATCTTCACGGTGCTTCAGTGCAGGAAGCAGGCGCTCTATGGTCGGGTTTCCGTTTATTGTCAGAGTGCTGGTAGTGAATCACATTCACAGAAAGTTTGGAACATTGCAAGATTCATTCAGGATCGCGCCAGGCTGGGGTAAAAGGTTCTTTCGTCACTCACTTGCTAGGTTTCTTGCCTTGCGTGTCAAACATGAGATTAGCCGAGCAGCCATCATTGAGCCTGTCGTGGCGAGCGAGGCGATGATCATGAGGAGATGCCTGATGAAGGTGTGGCAACAACTGGGCTATGCCTGAAGCCGTTTGAAAGCCCGTGGAGCTGTGCGTGTGTGTGTGTGTGTGTGTGAGTGTGCATGCACTCTTTGATGTGGAAAAGTTGATGCAACATGCATGACACTGCATGCAGGTATGATCCTGGCACATGACAGTTTAGCCTAAGAGAGGAACACTCATGTCGTGGCGGCCATTGATGCTGCCTTGTCCTTTCATGCCTCGGCTCCTTGATGCACTGTAGGCTTCAACTTATGCACGCTTTGTTTGAAGGATGCTTATTGCAACTGTCAATGAAATTTGTGTACTTCGTTCAGCTTGCCGCTTGCACCAATTTTGTGGTTCCCAGCACGCGGAAAGACGTGAGAGTCATTGGCAGGTGGAGACGCCAGAGTTTGTTGCGAGGCGCACTGCTTGGCGCCCAACGTATGGATCGATCGCTTGGTTCGGGCGGATTAGGCTGTGAATTTTAAGCAAATGATGTCTATGAAAGGGTCTCCAATCTAAACAAACAAATCCCCATTTGCTGGCTTGTTGGGCGCGAACTTCACAGTGTTTCATGTGTTTCCTTTCTTGCTGATCCATCAGGTTAGGATGCTTGTTTGTCGAAGGGAAGCACCTGATCGGCAGCGCTTGCTGGAGGGGGAGGTGACATGCACGAGGCTTCTACAGATCCGGAAGAAAGGCACCAGGTGCGGCACGCCTTGACCTGGACGGTCAACGAATGGCAAGAGGTCATGCTATGAGCATGGGTGCGGATTGAAATCGCTTTGAGAGCGTTTCAACAAGTTTGACGCCGGATATACGAATCGCCTAAGTCAGCTGTTGTGCTTTGGATTAGAACGGATACTTGCACTTGGCAGAAAGGACGGGCAACCCGCAAATATGCCAAATCAGGCACGCAGCAAAGCGTTGGACGACTGGCGTTACCAAACTCCGAGGCTGAGCTCCTGGCGCAGCGGGAAGCTCAAGGCGCTAGCATCGTGAACAATGCCCAGGGCCCCAGCGATTGGAATGCACGCAAGGCACATAGGGCCATAGGGGTAGCACGGTTGTGCTTTGCCTTGGAAGGAGTTGTCGCTTGTGTTTGTTGGCCTTTGAGGAAGTCCACTCTCTGTGCAAGTCTTGCCCTATGAGGGTGCTGGGGAATCTTGGCACACGACGTGAGTCTTTACATGAGGCGACTCGGCCCAGGCTGAGAAGGGTACTACCCGAGCGCGGCGCTCGCAGTACAACCGGGCGATTTTGCCGGAGGTGGGTGTCCCCATCTCCTTGAGTTTCCTCAGCGTTTGCGACCGGGAAGCCCTCGACTTTCAGGTACCCTGGGAGCTTGCCTCACCTCAACTCTGCCAGTCCAGATCCCAATATTTGATTGGGTTGCCGGCTGTGAGCCTACTTGGAAAGCTAGTTTGTTGATACTATGGCTGTTGGGTTGGGAGCAACCTCTTGGAAATTGGAGTGATTGCCTAGGCCATGTGTGCGAATTGATATGAGACTGATTTGCCCTCTGTTATGACATTGGCCTGACGACAGTGAGAGGGGTGTTGGTGGTGTTGGTCGCTTAAGTGCGGAGGTCAGTTCGTTTGCTGCTGGCATCCTTGGCGTGCAGTCTGCCGCGGCTGCACAAGTCTGAGTTTGGCCATCGCTGCTCAGCCGCTGTTGCTCAGCGAGAGGCAGCGTATCGGCACTGGCACCAAAAGCAGCAATGGCATCAATGCCATCATCAGCGGTAGCGGCACTTTTGGTACTTCCAGCACCAAGAGCATCATCAGAAGAAAGCTTCTGCAAAATACAGGACGGGCAGGTGCTACGCAAGTTGCTAACAGTGCTGAAGAGGATTGGGCGCCATCCTAGCTTGTTGGGGCCAAGTGCTTGCATCGCCAAATGGCGACGAGCAGGCAGCTCAGGAAGCAAGTCGCAAAGTTTGTTCCAGTGCACCACCGAGCATGTGCCGAGTTGCAGCAATGAACCTGTTGACCCTGTGCCGATCAAAGACCGGCCAGGGATCCCGGTCGTAAGGAGTCCGAAGGCAGAAGGGGACACAGCCCCAGGTGAAATTGCCTAGATGCCGTGCATGCCAAGGCGAGCCCTTTTGGCAGGCCACCAAGCCGGCCCACAGGCGGGTGCTCATAGACTTGGGCCGATCAGAGATTGCCTGTGCTTTGGAAGGTTAGACCCATTGGGACACACCACTTGGGTCCTTGCTCACCTTTTGCAGAAGCCAAACGCTCGTGCTCGCTCGAACGCACCTACGTGTCATAGGCATGCTGTGATGATGAGCTGTGATGTGAATTCCAAGACTACTCAAAAACCACCAAGGGAAACCAACAGGAAAACCTTCATTTTGGGGGGCTCCCTAAGAAACGACAGCCCCAGATTGTACCTTGCTCAACATTCGCAACGTACTCAGTGGCATGAATACTGTTTGGGGCTCGCTGAAATCGCCTTGACCCACCGTGCGCCTCATTTCGGCTCCAAGCGATTTCAGCTCGGACGTGTTGCACTCTTCAGGCGCACTTCGCTTTGAGCATGGAGTCCACAAAGGGACTGTCGAGGATAGTGCTGAAGTGCCTGCGAGCTGTTTTTATGCTGCCCGGATGTTTTGATTGGGCCATCTTGACTCCCTGCCATATGTGGCAACTTACTGAAGGATGAAGGGCAACTATTTTGCTGGATGTGCTTGAATTGTGGGTCTCAGCTCCGGCTGGGAGTTGAAAATCCATCCGCGCAGGCAAAGGCTCACGTAACGATGTCTTGCTGCTGTAGCACTCCGGAGAAGGATCCTGAGGAGCGTGCCTTGCATCGAGCAAAGAAAAGGCAACAGCAAAGCAAAGAAAGGAATGACCCCTACAAAACATCCAACTGGTTTCCTTTAAGACGGTTCCTTCCCCGAGCCCCCAAGGCAAATCTGCGGAAATGGAGAGATTCTCATGACCCGCACTTGAAACAGGGCCTCCCCGTGTCAGGAAACACTTGCACTCGCCAGTAGATCTACCCAAGCTAGGAATAACAGCAATTGATCTCCTTGCCACGGGTACACGCAATATCTCTACTTCAAAGAACGCTCCCTCCCCGTGTTTGCCAGCTTCGGTTGAAGCCTTGTTGCAAATGATGCTGTAACAAAGGATTGCAAAAGCTTCGAGAGGCTTTCATGTATGCTCTGGACTATTTGCATTTTTCCGTGATTTCATCTTCAGTCGACATGTGCAGACACTTGCATTTTTGACACCGCGGGATTGCGCCACTGCACGCGGCTTTCCATTTCAGGAGGACGTGCCCGTGCAGGCAGATGAGCTGGGGCCTTTTGGGTGCTTAAATGTCAAACTGTGAACGCCGTGCGCTTTGGTAAGGCTTGTTGAGGGGCTAATTTCAAAAAGAGAGGAGTATTCCGGAACCCTCCTGTTGTCTGGCATTCCAAGCGATGAGGCAGCCAAGTGCTTGCCTGTGACATGCCCTCATCAGCCAGATGCTTTGGGCACAATCGGCCAAAGCCACGTCGTACAGAATAAGATACCACATTCTGGCAGAGGGGAACGATCTCTCACTCGAACGGGTCGCACATGCTCCACACTTGCCTATCAGGGCTAGTGACTCTATGCAGATGCACATATTTGAGATTTAGATACCAGATACACGCTACGCTTTCTCGGAGAGAGCCAATGCCACGGCCAACATCAACACTTTTGGATTTGAAGACAGTCCTTACTAGTTTAAGATATTGTGAAGCATTCCTTCAGTTCATGGCTGTGATGCAGGAGCACTCCGCATTCAGATTCAATGAGCCCAGAAAGCCCAGAAGCTGGGGTAAGATATGATGTCAGGCTCCATAGCCAACAGGCCTGGGTCAGATGCCACAGCACTTTGAAGCCCTTGGCGCTCGCCGAGGCCCAAGGAGTTTGGACCGGCGCCCAACCGCGGGTGCACTGATTGCTGGTGCCTGCTTGTGCTGCTGGCGGCATGGGGTGCCTGGGTCGTGGCCGGGGTGCCCCAGGCCGTGCGCAAAATGGGTGAGGCGATGCGGTGGATGGATCCATTCGGAGCATTGAAAGAGTCCTCTAGAGTACCAAAAGTGCACCAACTTGCTGTTGGGCCTTCGGAGGGGATCAAAGCGAATCCAAACCGTAGACTGGCCTGAGGCAACGGCTGATCTTTGCTTTAGATCTGAGGGCTAAATGAATTCCACTTGCTAGCGGCAGGAAGGCGTGTTTTTGATTTGGTTGAAGCTGATTGCGGGTTAGCTGGGCAGCATGGGAAGCTGAGCGACGCTGCAGACTTGAAAGCAGGAAGACTTCCGGGCAGAGACTAAACTTGAAGTTAGTGAGATGCGGAGTTGTTGGCATGGTTTCAGTTTCCTGATATCCTGTTGTTTTTCGTGCTGCATGTAGTGCCTTGCCTCCTTGGGCACGTTGCCAGCTTCGATAGGGTGATTTCTGTCACCAGAGGATTGGCTGAGGTTACCATCATGGGAGTCGCGGACGGCAATCTCGAAAGGCAGGGAATGATTTGGTTTTTGAACATCTTGTGCCGAATTTCCGCTTTGGGGGGGGGGGGCGTGTATTTCATTTCTGCTCGCGCTGGAAAAGACAAATAATTTGAGCATTGTCTGCGTGCATAGCTTTCCTTTCTGTGGGCCTGCTGCTTTAGTGGGTCCAGCACACAGAGCAAGCGTATAGAATTTCACGGCGACGTATCTTCGGCTAGGCGAGGGACATGTAGGGTGAATCTCGCTCCCCTCCTGGGATCTCGTGCTTCATTCGTTTTGGTTCTCCTTTTTGATCTAACAGACGGGATCCTTGAAATCTTTCAGTCCGCACACTGATCTGATTCTGGAATGCATTTTCCGGTGCCATCTGATGGCAAAGGCTGTTCAATCAACGGTGGAGTGTATTGTCGCGCATGATTAGCACGAACAAACTTTGAGCCGAGCACTCTGCTTTTTGGCTGCATTGGAAGAAGCATCTTCCGTTCCTGGCGTCCGCATGTGGCTCCGAAAGGTTGTACCAGCCGCGGGACTATCAGGGGGCCTACTGCAACCTCGAGGACTGACGGGAGCGCCGCACAAACAGATGAATCGGCATGCAGTCGGGGACTTTAGAGCGCATGTTGATTGTCACTGCAGCAAGCCATGAAGTACAAGATGCTGGTAATTGGATCCAGATCTTGGGTCACAGCTAGTGTGTCTTCAACCAGCACATGGGTTTTGATTCCCAGTGTGCTCCCTTTCCGCGTGAGCGGTCAGCGAGCAGCTTGGACTGTGTCCCTTCTACCATGACATTACAATACAATGTCTTGGCAGGGAAGAAGCATTCCTGAGAACGACGTTCGTGTGTTCTTGGCATCCGATGTCAAAAAGACAGATAATCAACATCTGTTTTCAAATAGTATCGTGGTGTCATAGTCTGACAGACAAGCTCATGAAGGCAGAAGCAGGCCCGGTTCATCAGGGCGAGGTTCCACACACACTTTCAAGACCGACTCGCCAGACGAACTGGAATGACGGGCCGAACCTGCTAGGCAGGGAGGGATGAATGGGGATGAATCCAAGGATTCCATTCGACGGCAAAAGATTGGGAGGTTGTGGAAGAATCTGTAGAACTTGCATGGGTTGTTGACACCCTTGGGCAAGGAAAGCCAGATTTGCCAGGTGAGTGCAAGGCGAAATCTTGCCAAGTGAACCAGTGAGTGTCAAGACCATCTTGAAGCGAAGGGTTCCATTTTCACCTTTTCTCAATACAATATTACTGCGACAACAGGTGTAGCAAGGTTGAAAGTTTGCCGGAGGTCTGGCGCATGGAGCCATGGGCACCCTGCAGGCTATACCAAGCAGAGTTTCACTATGAACGTCAGCGCTGTGACGGACGTGATCGTCAAGCAGTCATCGCCCAAGATCGCAATGGCTTTGTTTTTCACAAAACAAGTTAAACGAGCAGTATCGCTCTAGGCCGTTCGAGGTTGCCACATGAGCTGCTAGGAAGAACACATTGCAGGCTTGACGACACATCGTGTTTTGAGCGCTCGAAGAGAGACAGCGCGCTGTGTGCATGGAGCACCAGCCTCCCCCAACAAAACCCAGGAGAGGCTCTCGAGGGGGCAAGCCAGTGCTCTCTGAGGATGATGTGCTCGACTGCAGCCTCTGAAGTGCTGACCCAGACCGTTGGAGGCTAGGTTTGAGATGTCTTTTGTGGTTATGTCAATCCTCCCGAGTCAAACTCGCTGTCCGCTGTTTCGCAGAGCTCAACACAAACGGCGGAGTTTGATTGAGTCCGCCGAGCATTTTAGGCCCTGCTTTTACACTCTGTGAGTCAAGCGGGAAAGCGCTTGCGATTTCTTTGCAAATACCCAGCTTTGAAGCTTTGTCACACTTTGACTTGCCTTCATACCATCCACTTGTTTGCGAGCCCCGTTTGGCCATCTAAAATCTTGCTACATAAGCTTTTTGCCGCTTGCAGTCAGCTTTCTCGTCCGCTTTGCAACAAATCATAGCAATGTAAAGGGGGCAGCCCGAAGGAGAGTCCCTTTCAACACAATTGACAGACGCACAGACGCACGCACACACAAACAAACACACAAACACAACACAGCAAAGAAACAAGCAAGCAAACAAGCAAAGAAGCAAGGCAGCAAACAAACAAAGAAGCAAGCCAGCAAACAAGCAAGCGAGCAAGCGAGCAAGCAAGCAAGCCACCAATCAAGCAAGGAAGCAAGCAAACAAACAAACAAGCACGCACAAACGCAAGCAAGCAAGCAAGCAAGCAAGCAAGCAAGCAAGCGAGCAAGCAAGCAAGCAAGCAAGCAAGCAAGCAAGCAAGCAAGCAAACAAACGCACAAACGCAACAAAACAAAGAAACAAGCAAGCAAACAAACAAAGAAGCAAGCCAGCAAACGAACAAAGAAGCAAGCCAGCAAACAAGCAAGAATTCAATGAAACAACACGCACGAACACAAACAAACAAACAAACAAACAAACAAACAAACAAACAAACAAACAAACAAACAAACAAACAATCAAACAAACAAACAAACAAACAAACAAACAAACAAACAAACAAACAAACAAACAAACAAACAAACAAACAAACAAACAAACAAACAAACAAACAAACAAACAAACAAACAAAC